TCTCTCTCTCTCTCTCTCTCTCACACACACACACACACACACACACACACACACACAATATATATATATAATTTTATTAAAAATTTTAAGAAAGCAGATAAAAACTAATAGAAACTAATATAGAGTAAGAAAAAAGAATCAGAGAAAGAGTTAAAAGTGCAAAAGTAAAGAAAAAAAAAATACAAAGAAGTAACTTCCGATCTTGTTTACAGATAACATTGTTATAAATTTACCTCTTGCTCTATGGTTACAATGTAACTCTGTTTTTTCTATAATCCACCCTGTCTAATCATCGAAACCATAAATCATAAGTTCATTTTTTTTCTGTTTTATGCAAAAAGTCCATAAGGGGTTTCCAGGCATCAATAAACATAGATATTGTCTTTTCTCTGATCAAAGAAGTCAGTTTGGCCATTTCAGCAAGTTCCATCATCTTCACCAACCATTCCTCCATTGTGGGTAGTACCAAATCTTTCCATCTTTGTATATATAATAATCTCATTGCAGTTGTCATCTATAAAAACGAAGTTCCATAAGTTTTTTCCAACTATTTGTCCATCAGTCCCAAAAGAAAAGCTTCTAGTTTCAATTGTATATTAATCTTTAAAATCCTCTGCATTGGTGTATATATTTGAATCCAAAACTTTCTGGCTTTTTTACACGTCCACCAAACACGATAAAATGTCCCTTCTTGTTGTTCACATTTCCAACATAAATTTGAGGTACCTTTATACATTCTAGACAATTTCTCTGGTGACGTATGCCAATAATACATCATTTTATAAAAATTCTCCTTAAGACAGCTGAAAACTTTCCTATTAAAACACCAGTGAAACATAAATATTTAATTGTGTCCAAGAAGTAACCAGGAAATGTACTGGGCAAACCTAGCATTCAAAAAGAGAGAATCTGAAGGAAGCAATTGACAATGAAATATTTATTTTTTCTGTCAGAGCAGAAAAAATAAACTTGGCAAGATTAAGTAGCAGAGGCAAGAGAATGAAGGAAAAAAGGAAGAGTGGCAAGGGACAGATCAGCAGGTGAGGAAAAGCTAACTAGCAACAAAGAAGCTGAAACGATCACTTGTATTGTGGGTTTTCTCTTTCTCTGCATTGAGTTGGTCCCCCGCAACTGGGACAACCCAGGGTGATGCTGCAGTTATTGCCTTCTATAACCTGTTTTCTTTTCCTCAAGCAAGGTTTTGTGAGTGAGGCTGAAAGGAAGAAAACCCCTTTCCCTTTCTACTAATTGAGAAACACAGAGGCACCATACACCCAACATCTTGGCCAACACTGTGGAGAAGCTTTAGCCGTTCAAGGCAGGTTTCCAGATTATAATCCCTCAAGATACAAACTGACACCAAAATACTTGTTTAAATTAGTATTTGGAGTTTATTAATGCACAACAATGAGGGAAAAAATCATAGGTGAATAATAAGGCTTAAAGAAAAGTACTCAATTCCAAAAAAGTGTAAACAAAGAAACAATCAGTCGGCCATCCAAAAATGAGATTAAGACTCAGAGAAAAATTAGCTGTGGAAGAATCCTGGGTAATTTGTCTTGAGAACATGCAAAATAAAATAAGTCCTAATGCAGTGTTTCTCAACTTTAGCAATTTTAAGATGTATGGACTTCAACTCTCAGAATGCCCCAGCCAGCTTGCTTGCTGGGTGGGGCATTCTGGGAGTTGAAGTCCATACTTCTTAAAGTTGCTAAAGGTGAGAAACACTGCCCTAATGGAACTCTGCTTACTCACTGCATCTAGAAGTCTAGTTTACTTTATATTCATCTTTAGATCCTAGAAGATTTCGCCCACAACCTGGGTCAACTTAAATTCCTTCCTTTTCTTCCATATAGCCAGCTGTTGCTGCTGAGGGGATTCTAAAGAAGAAAAGCCCCAGGAAACCCCGTCCTTGCTATTTAATCTCAAGCGGGGAGGAGTTGTGTTTCTCAGTAATTTTGCCCCTGGCTGTCCTAGGCTTCCTTACTTGATGCAAAAGAGATTACAGGTAGTCGTCGCTTAAAGACCTTTCATTCAGCAACTATTTGAAGTTATGACAGCATTGAACAAATGATAGTTACAGCTGGTCCTCAAAGTTATAGCCGTTGCAGCGTCCCTGCAGTTATGTAATCAAAGTTTGGGCACTTGGAAACCCGAACTGCAGCATGCACTTCAACTCCCCTCACTCACCTATATCCCCCCCCCATCTCTGCCCTTTTGGCTGCCATTTACTCCACTGCTTCTGCCTATCCTACTGCTCCCCACCGGCCCCAGCTGACCTTCGCTGTCTTCTTCCTCCCACTGCTGACAAGGCCAGCAACTGCCTCAGCTGGATGCACCTCATCAGCAGCAGAAGGGAGATGATGGTCAGCTGGGGCCAGCGGTGGGGTGGCAGGGGTAGGCGGCAGCAGCAGAATGAATGGCAGCCAAAAAGGCAGAGATGGGGGGGGTTATAGGTGGGGGGGGAGTTGAAGTGGCAGCGAGCATGGCAGGGCAGAAACGTGAGGTCCTCGCCTAGCAATGGCACAGTCCTTGCCGAACAACCACAACCGATACTACTAGAACAGGCCATCGCTAAGCAATGCAGTCATGTGATGTTTCACCTAACAACCACTTCGCTTGGTGACAGAAATTCTGGTCCAAATTAGCATCATTAAGCTATAGTTTTGAGGTCGGTTGTGTGTGCATTCTGATCTCACAGGAATCTGTAGAAGCTTGCCATGATAAAGGTGCCCATTACACCTACATATTCAGTTGAAGGTCATTTATAGGGTCTTCGTTGTGTACATCTTTAGGCATCTTACTAGCAAAAATATTTGATCACCTCTTTTTTTAAAAAAAATGAATGCATTTTGTAAAGTGCATGGAGCTATGAGAAAGGTATATTCTTTCCTGAGAGGAATAAATAAATTCATTCTAGAGCAGTGTTGTCCAAACTTGGGCACTTTAAGATGAGGGGACTTCAACTCCCAGAATTCTGGAAGTTGAAGTCCACTCATCTTAAAGTGCCCAAGTTTGGACAACACTGTTCTAGAGTTTAGCTGGCTTACTTTTTAAAGTAGATGCAAGGGGGAGCTATGGTAGGATATATGTTGGAGCCTTTTGCATGTGAGATACTGTGTTATCAGTTGATTTATCAGTAGGATATCACAAACAGTACATGACCCATACTGAACACAAGACTTTT